CAATTGCAAGGAAGGGTGCTGCGGGGAGAGCTGGTGGTGCGGGAATAAGGAAAAATGGGTATGAACAACAAAAACTGTAGTGATGGGGTGCAATGAATACCAGCCATGTGAGGAGAATAGTCTCTGCCCCCAGGGAAAATTGAAACGCAGACCTAGACTCTAAGTCAGGGTTCTTTTGTAACTCACCCGTCATCCGTGTCTATGCAGCTTTCTTAAGCTGAAAGCCACTGTCCACATTGGAAAGAGTGACTTGTTTTCTGTTGGACTCTGGTAAGTATTTATTGAGCCGCTGTGCTTTGTACACTTATATCATGGGAGAGATGTTCATATTCCAATTGAAGGAAGGATGATTTTGACAGCAGTGGGGAAGACAGAGGAAAGGCGTGTGGAGGCTGGGGAAGAAGAGAGAGGAGGCGGTGTAGACACAGCATGCTCACGTGAGTCCAAACCCAGATGGGGAATGGACAGGATTCAGCAGAGAAGGAGAAATGAAAAATAACCGAGTGGAAATAGAGCGAGGGACCCGTTCCAGGAGAAAGGAGGAAGCCAAACTACTCAAAGTGGAACGGTCTTGAATAGAAGACAAAAACCTTTCCCTGCCCGTAGGAGAAGTGGAGAGAAAGGGTGGGTGCCAAGGCGGGTGTAGGCTGAGGCGAGGGGTGTGCCGCGGGGGTCTCCTGAGCACGGGGGCTGCTCAGCACACAGCCCTGCTCAGGGAAGATGGCAGAAACCCTGCAGGGAGCTGAGAAAGAGGTAAGAGCTCGGCGTGGTCTACTTAGTTCACCTTGGTCTAGCTCAGAACTGCTGAGAGGAGCGGGAGAGGGGCCCACGGTGGCCTTTTGAAGCAATGCGGGACGGTAACGTGAGGACACAGGCCGGGAAGCCTAACGAAGCGTCGGGTAGAAGCTCTCCCAGTAAGGGGATGAGAGAGAAGGAACGATGGGACGTCGCTGTCTGAGAACGACTGATCGAAGCTCAAGATCTCAGAGGTGGGACAGTCTTAGGGAATTACAGTGTCCAGGCCAAGCAAGGCCAGGAAGGTGGTTCGGAGATAAACAGAATGAGGTAGTGGAAGTCATGGAAGTGCGTCTGCATGGTGCACTTGTGACCCACGTAAACTCCGCAGCACGTGAGATGGCAGTGGCACTGGGGCTGGAAAGAAAGTGCATCCCAAGTGCCAAAGGCCAAAAGAAACAGGGCGGTCTGGAGGTGACACTGCTGCCTCGGAAGAGGGCGATGCGGCTTTGCAGCACTGGCCACTGCACAGTGTGTGGAAGCAGGAATGATGCCAGTAGGCGCGCTCTCTGTCTCCCTCTCTCTCTCTCTCTCCCTATCTCTCTCTCTAGCTCTATCTCTCTCTGTCTCTCTCTCTGTCTCTCTGTCTCTCT